GAACTTCTCGGATGGCCCTGGCCTCCAAAAGTCTATCTACTTCTTCTTCTACTGCTTCGACGTGCATCAACGTCGGTCTTCTGGCTCGTTGAATCACAGGTTTTGCCGACCTGTCGACATTCAGTTTGTGGCAAGTGACCTCGGGGTCAATTCCAGGCATCTCGTAAGGTGTCCAGGCGAACACCTCAATGTTGGCTCTTAAAAAATCTTCCAGTTCTCTTTCTTCTTCTTCGGCTAAGCCTGAGCCGAGAAGAAAGAAGCGTTCTTCGTCGCCCTCCTGGACAAGGATTTTCTTTAGTGTCTCTTCACTTTTTTCTGTCGGCTCCTTGCCGACATCTTCTAGGACCTCCATGTCCTCGTCTTCAATCTCTGCCTCTTTTGGCTTTCGAATGCTGCAAGTGGTCTTCATTGCTGCCATGGAGCAAGTTTTTGCCTGTAGTTGATCTCCTCTGACTTCTTCAATCCCATGCTCTGTTGGGAATCGTAGTAGTTGATGCGGTGTTGAGGGAACTACCCCCATTGCATGCAACCATGGTCTTCCTAAGATGATGTTATATGGTGAGGGTGTGTCAATCACCATAAATTATGTCTTGATCTTTTTAGTACCAGCTTGTACTTCCACACTTGCTGCGCCTAGTGGCCATGTTGGCGTTCCATTGAAGCCGACCATAGGGTTGCTGGATTGTTCCAAGTCGTCAAGGTGAAGGCCCAGCTCCTTGTAACATCGGACGTACATGATGTCACAAGAGCTGCCTTGATCTATCAGGATGCGTTTCACTTGGCATTCCCCAACCTGGAGGGATACTACCAAGGCATCATTATGCGGATGTTGGACCAACTCTAGGTCGGCTTCAGTGAAAGTTATCATCGGTCCTTGGCATTCTTCAGGCCGAGGTCTTTTGTATCCGACCTGGTTCACGTGCTGCAGGTGTTTTACTTTTTGGGTTTCTCCCCGTATGTCGCTTTTGTTCACCTTTGAGTGGATTACATTAACCACCCATGGTTCTCCTGCTTGTGGTTGCTGTACTGGGGGAGGCGGTGCTGCTGGTGCTTGAGGCAATCTCGCCTGTTCCTCTCTTGTCTTGGCCTCATCAATAAAGTCCCTTAGATGGCCTTGCCTTACCAAATCTTCTAAGTGTGCTTTTAGGGCTCTACAACCTTGAGTTGGGTGCCCTTCTTCATTGTGGTAAGCACAATGCCTACCAACGTTTCTTCCCATGAATTCCCCTGGTACTCTTGCTGGAGTTCTGAAATAGGGTTGGTTTCGTATTTGATCCAAGACCTTATGGATAGGGATTCGGAACACCGTCGTCACTGCCTGTTTACCCTTCAATTATGTTTCTTGTTTGGTCGGTCCGTTATTACCTCGGCCTCGCTTCGGCGAGCCGTCTCCCTTCTCCTGCTTCATCTCTTTGTTTCCCGACGTATCTTCCTCGGCTCTGGCGTACTTCTCGATTCTCGCCATGAGTTCCTCCATGCTTTTTGGCAATGTTTTTGCCAAAGACTTCCGTAGTGGGCAGTTATCTTTCAGGCCGTTCTTTAAAGACACAACCGCCACTTCTTGGTTGCATTCGGGTATTCGATTGAACACCTCGTAGTACCTCTTCGCGTAGGCCCTAAGGCCTTCTTCCTTGGTGATTCTTAAAGCCATCAGGGCGTCGACCCTTAAGGGCTGTAGTTTGTTTGTTACAAACCTGGCCACGAACATCTCGGCCAGGCCTTCCCATGTCTTTACGCTTCCTTTTGGTAGTTTATGGAACCAATCAGATGCAATTTCCCCAAAGGATGAGGGAAATACTTTGCAGAGCAACGGCTCGTTCCCACTGTATAATGCCATTGAGTTCAGGTACAGTCCAACATGAAAGTTGGGATCTGACTTACCATCATAAATTTGGAACCTTGGCATACTGAATCTTTTTGGTGCTTCAAATTTGTCCAGTTCCACCGAGAACGGTGTTCTCGGCTTAACTGGGGATGTCACCTCGGCTTCAACATTCTGCTGCCTCCTTTTGAGGTAATCCCTCAAGTCTTCCTTACTCCTACCTGGAGCTCGGCTATCTCTGGACTTCAATCTTTTTGGCACACTACTTTCGGCCTCGTGGTGGGCCCGTTTCGATCTTTCTCCATGGGTTGTGTCAAAGCAGAGTGCCTGCCCTTGAACATGCCGATGTTCTTTAGGTCCTGGATCCTTCATTCGATGTGTCCTTCGAGACTCTTCTTGCATTGGCTCCTCTCGTCCGTCTTTCTTGGAAGGTCGGGGTAAGTGCCTTTCACTCCTGGTGTGCTGAGGGGCTTCGGGGATTGCTTTCCTTCCTCCCTTCTGGATGTTAATTGCCGGCATCGGCGTATCTTGCAGCGGGTATGGTGGCTGCATGACATTGTTTTGCATCATGAAGTTGACCACTGACTGTAGGTCTGCCAACTTGTTTGCCAAGTCTTTTACTTTCTCATCTCTCCGTAGGCACCTATCCCTCCATACCTGAAGGTTATCTTCGTTATAATACTTGCTTTGGTCTGTTCACTTCGAAGTACCGCCCTCCTGGCCGACGTCTTTCTCTCCGTGACCCTGGTCATGATTTTCTGTACTGTGGTTATCTTCTTCAACGTCAAGATCGATTGGTCTACCACTCCTAGCAGGAGTGTCGCCCCCAATGTTTTCCCTCTGTCCGTCACTGGCTATCTATTCTTCTAAGATTCCCACAGACGGCGCCAAAATTGTGTGGGTAAAAATCTGACCACACTGCCCACTTAGTAATCAACTGGAGAGCACTGGCAGAATAGATGGCTTTAGCTAACTTGTAACAGAAAGAAAAAGGCTCCGGCGGTGGTTCTTCCACCCGGGGGCACTCTGACGATCAAGTCAGTATTTCTCTCAAAGATAATCAAGTGCTAAACTTAATGCTCAAAACATAAATTGCGTACCTTAGACCCACGTGGGTGTCTCTCTTTTATAGTTTACTCAATCCAAGTCCCACTAGAAGCATGACTTCTATGAACTCTAATGCAGTGCTTACTTTGGATTCCTTAAGAGATAAAGATAAACTCCCTAAGAGTTTTATCCTTATCTTGAAGTCTCCTCTTTGTCCTAGGATTCTTGTCCCCTATCCGCTTATCTCGGATTCTGATATCTTCGGAGGTAACCTCGGCAACTCCGAGATCACCTCGGCGTAACTACCACGATACGTGGCACCTCGGCTGACACGTCGGTGCCACCATGCCACGTGTTGGTACTCAAAAAATATATCCCCACACTAAACATGACCAATAACATTAATTTTATTTATTTATTTATATGACTAATAAATTTTTGATAAAAAAGGAATCATATGATATGAATTAAAATCTTTAAAGGATGTAATATAATTATGTCAAATTTATGAGACTTTCTATATTTTTTTAAAATTTCAAAGGAGATTAGTATAATTTATATATAAAAAGAGAGAGAAATAAAAAAAAAAAAAATCAAAATTAGGAGAAAAAATTAAATGAATGGTGAGAAAAATATTAAATGAATGGTTACAACTACATGGTGTGTGGATCACTATATGTTATTAGATGATAGTATCACGTCTCAATGATGAGGTGTATTACCATTAGGGCTGCAAATGAATAGAACCATGCGTGAACAAGCTCGGTACCACTCGGTAAGAATTCGTTTGAATTCAACTCGTTAAATTTTATTTAGTCCAAGTTTGAACTCATTAAAATCTTAATGAACAAGTTTAAGCATATTAAAACTCAGTTTGTTAGTTCAGCTCATTTAATATTAATTTATAAGTAAATAATAGTTAACTATGAATAATACATTTATATAATAGTGGTGATATATATTATTATCTTGTTAAGATATTAACTTTTCTTTTAATATATTTATATATATTGTATATATAATTATATAATCAAAGTTTTAACTGTAACTTTAGTTTTATACGCAAATATGAATTTATAATTTGTTTGGCTTGATAAGATTTGTAATCAATCTCGAGTTTTGTTCGTTAAATTTTTATTGAACTCGAGTTCAAATTTAGGGTTCGTTTGAGATGTGCGTTAGCTTTTTAATTTTTTGGCTATTTTAGCTCGGGGCAAATAAGTTTTCTTTGGAATAAATTTTTTGGTTTTTTTAATTTTGTTAGAGAAAAAAATAAAATAATTATGGTTTAAAGACTAAAAAACCTATTTCTTTTTTTTTGTGATTATTTTAACCAAAAGGGCTTGGCTTTCCTCAAATCCCAGATTGAACTGGAGGGTGCTGTTGGGCTTGTGAGGGCCCACCACTAGTCTCGTTTTAATAATTTGAACCGTGCAATATGTAGAACTCATTGAATACTATATGCTTGTATAAAATCACGTTGATCGGATATCGATACCTACGTGATCAAATAAGTTTCGTATAAAACAAATGGACGGTGAAAAAATAAATGGTTGACAGAAAACTAATCCGATGAGATAGCTATCGATATCCGATCAACGTGATTTTTTTATAGGCATATAGTATTTGACGAATTCTACATATTGAACGGCTCAAATTATCAAAAACGAGACTCATGGTGAGTTTTCACAGACCCAACAACACTCTTCAATCTAATCTGAGACTGGAGGAAACCCATTGCCTAATCAAAAAATCCCATTTTAATTTATGTCAAACGAAAACTCAAACTTATTAAAATCTTAATAAATAAATTTAAACATTTAAACATTATTTAAAAATATAAGTACACTTATTTTATTTGATAAGTATTTTTTTATAGAAAAATACTTGGGAACACTAAAAGGGAGCACTAGAAGGAAGGCGCACTGATGATGTGGCAGTGGGTCCCGTCCACTTTTTATGCCTTATTTTTTTTTTTTTAATCATTCCCAATACATTAGTATTATTAGTGATGTATTTTTTAGTGGTCTAAATCATTATTGTTTTTTATATGACATAATTTGTCCATTTCACACTTGGAACCGTTGCAGTGGATCAAAACGACAGCGTAGTGAGTGCAGATATCAGGTCTTATCCACAAGGCTTAGCCAGAAAAATCTCAACTCGAATCCTCTCTCATCCACCCAAACATGGCTCTCACCATCGGAGGCGGAGGTGGTGGCGCTGCTGGCACACTCTATGGCCGCACCACCACTTTCAACCACGGCGGCGATCGGTTTCTCCGCCGTCCAATCCTCCTCCCACCATCAAACCCTCTTTTTTGGTCTCTTCAATCCACATCACGAAATGACAACAACAACATAGTTCCAAAAGCAGCCAAGAAGATGTCCTCCAGAACAGGAAAGTTCGACAGCAAGAACAAAAGGAGCTTGAATACAACAACCAAAGAACAAGAAACAGAGCAAGGAGAACAACAACAACGGACGGTTCAGATTGAAACTGATGGGAGTAGTGGTGGAACAGGGGTCGTTGATGGAGTTGGTGGTGATGATGGGTATTTCTTGCCGGAGCTTCCCGGTTTAGAGCAGGACTTCTGGGAGGGGCCTCAGTGGGACACTTTTGGATTTGTCGTGCAATATCTCTGGGCTTTTGGCATTCTTTTTGCGGTCTGTCTCTCTCTCTCTCTCTCTGTGACAATTTTTGTTTATTTGGTTGTTCATTAGTGTTTATAGTGATTGGGTTTTGGGTAAAATTGGTCCTTTTTATGATTATTTTTAGGATTAATTGGTGAAAAGTACACAGTTATGGGCTATATGTTATTTGGTCCAAAGTTTATTTTTTTGTGACAAAACACGCATTGAAAAGTCTCTAAAAAAGTTGCCAGGGGTTGGCAGCCGCTGCTGGTGGCGATGAGGTGGATAAATAGGTGATATTGGACAGATAGGTAGATAGGGGACATGAGTAGTTGATATTTTGGACAAATAGATAGATAGTTGACACGTATATAGATATGTGAAGATGACATTTGTACATGTATGTTACATTTTTTAGACAGATATGTGTCTTTTTGGACATATAATGTCTTTTTGGTCTAAAAAGATTTAAGCGATTCAATAGTTTCAGAAGTGGACCTCTGGTTTAGTGCCCTTTGAATTATAGAGTCCAAAGAGAGGTTTTCTGAATTGGGTTTCAATTTTTTCGAATGTACATATGAATTGGTTTGCCAATATAAATTGTAAGAGATACCAATTGCTTGTTTGGTCTAATGCTATGAAGTTAGTGCTAGGAGGTCAGGGGCAGAGCCATGATTTTTTTCCATGTTTGGTAATTGTAAATATTTTGAAGCACTAAATAGGCCATTTTAATTAGAGAACTGATTGAGATATTTTAAATCTGAAACCTATGTATGTTAATGTACTTAATTGTGCAAATTTTAGAAATATCTCAATCAGTTCTCTTTCAGTGTTAATTAGATCTAACACAGAAGTATCAAATGCTCGTCCTACATTTGGGGGCAATTGCTCCCACTCTCTAACACAGAAGTATCAAATGCTCATCCTACCTTTGGGGGTGAAAAAATGATCTATCACAGATAAACTAGTAATTTTCAAAAGTCATTGGGGGAAATTGCTCCCACTCGTTTCAATGTTGCTCTGCCCCTACAGGCAACTTTAGAGACTATAGAGCATGTTTGGTATGATGGAATGAAATGAAGTGGGAATGGTTTGAGAGTGAAAATGAAATACAAGGTTGAATGGAATGGAATGTTTATGTCCATTTCCAGTTCCGTTCCATTGTTTGGTTGCAAACATGGAATGACATAGAAAGAGGACGATAATTCTCATTCTCATAATAAGTTTTTATTATTTGTTTATTTTTTTAATAAGCTAGTAACAAATAAATTGAAAATTTATATAGATCATGATAGTGTTGATAGTTGTAGTCTTGTAGAAGTGATAGTGTGAGTCGTGATAGTGGTGGCATTGGTGGTGGTTATAGCAGTGATAGTAAGATGATGGTAGTGGTGGTGGTAGGTTGTTGTGGTGTCATTGGTGGTCGTAAGGTGGTGTTGTCGTTGTGATGGTGGTGGTTGTGGGGGCGGCGGTGGCGGCCAACGATAGTAGAGTGGTGGTTCTTGCGATGGTAATGGTGGTGGTGTGATGTTTATGAAGGTGGTAGTAGTGGTGGTAAGGTAGTGGTTGTTGCGGTGGAGGCAATGGTGGTAGTGGGAGCGGTGGTAGCAGGGTAGTAGACCTAACGATGGTAATGGTGGTGGTTTTATGGTTGTGGTGGTAGTGGTTGTGGTAGTAATGGTGGTGTGGTTGTGAAGATGGCAGTAGTGGTTGTGGTGGTAAGGTGGTGGAATGGGTGGTAGCAGAAGGGAATAGAAGTGGTAGTTAAATGATTATATTTTTTTTAAGTACCCCCCAAAAAAAAATAATAATAACAAAATTTTATGGTGATTCCATGATGGAATGGAATAACCATTCCTTAGGTTGGAGGAAGAAATAGGCATTCCCACATTTTGTTAGAATAGTCATTCCAATGGCTATTCCCACTTAGATAAGACGTATCAAACAAGAGAATGGGAATACAAAGCTAGAGTGGACATTCCATTCCAGCCCATTTTATCGTACCAAACGTGCTCTTAGTTAAGAGAGAGTTGATATTGGTTGGTTGTTCAAGGCTTAGCCCTCGACTGGGCTAGCATTGATGAAAAAATGACAAAATAAAAACTTCTCCCATTGCATCATTAACTGGTGTAGGATTAATGATCTCAGCCGAGCCAGTCACTAAGGTTGGTATACTCAAGGTGCTTATTCCCCAAAAAAAGAAAAAAATCAAAAGAGTTAAATATTTGTAATGATCTTGTTCAGTAGATGTCAATCGAAACTGGTGTTCTTTCCACTTGAATAGCTAGAATTATGTATAATGATGGTCATGATCACCATGTTTTGATTGAAATGGAGAATGACGAATCAATGACCATCTCAATTGGGATAAAAAATTATGATGGGATGTTGACCCTAGTCGCTGTTTTTTCAAAGAGCCTATTCATACTTTCAGACCACATTTCCCATCTTACAACTAAAAGCCATTTTGGGAGAGCGTATCGTCTTAAGAAGACTTCAGTAACATGTTTTCTATGCCTAATGCAACATTTCCCAAATCTTTCATGAAGGAAATAGGCTCTTTTGCATCAGCAATTAAACATCAGACTTAAAGCATAGAATTCCTTCTTTGCATTGACTGTTCTATCTGCAGCAGCATGCTTAGTTGACAAGTCCATACCAATGTATATCAGCTGATAATATATTGATATGTAGCATGACAAAAAATTTGCTAGCGATGCCCAAATTTTGTCTATCCAATAATATTAAGGTTTTGTTGCTCCTTAAATTATAAACTAGTTTTCTGATATAGTAATGAAGATATGTCGTAGGATGCATTGAAAATTTAGGAGAAAAGTCTTATAGATCATGTAATAGACCATCTGGATAGAAATGCTACAAACTCACAAATTATTAGATGTTGTAATCTTTCATCATTCTTTGAGGTGTATTGATATGATTTTCTGTATTTTTTCCTTATTTTGTCAAAGTTTTAAATATCAAATCTGTTACGAATAATTGAAACGAAATTATTTCACCAGCATGGAGTTTTCTTATAATTTACTATTGCAATCATTGCTATTAATCATGTTCTCAACCTCAACCATCTAAACTCTTGCAAAAAGTCTATGTTAAAGTCAGAACTTTTTTTTTCCTTCAAAATTTCAACACACAACCCAACAACGTTAAAATGTTGAAGACAATGTGGCTGAAAGGATTGAAGATGTGCTGAAAGCTTATGGAAGACCACCTTTTCAACATATAAGACACTGAAAAGTAGAATTTAAAATTCCAAATTGATTTCTTTAACTGTCACTATAATCTATGAATTTTGTTAATAAGGTTAGGGAAATGTGTTTTTCCCCCCATTTTCTTACTGCTGCTGATAAAATTAAACTTCTCATATCGACATTTAGGTATGACAGTACTTATATGAGAAGTGTCTCTATGTAAAAATAAACAAATAATTAAAAGAAGAAGGTTTTAGTGTATCAGTAGATCAGGTTATTTGGAGCTTAAAGGACCTTTATTTATACTGTTGTTTCTGATCCGTACTAATGAAGAAAGTTTGTGCTAACTTTCTGAAACATTAACTGTTTAGTCTTAAATTTTGATGTAGTGAAGAGTTTATGTCAGTACCCCCTTCTGCTATTTGTGCATGTTTGCATTCTTTGGCACTCTCTGACATTGATTTTTAAACTTTATTAATTGCAGCTAATTGCATGTGGAATTGCTGTTGCCACATACAATGAAGGTGCAACAGATTTCAAGGCGACTCCTGCATACAAGGAATCAATTCAATCAAGAGAGCTTTTAGAAGAACCGGAAGGGTCTAACTCTGACGTTTTCGAGTCCAACCCGACTGAGGAGGCACCTAGTTTGGAATAGCCATTTAAATTTTGAATCCAAACTTCACCTTGTAGTCATGATACAATTCCGGCAAAAGGAACATTTCAACTATAGTTGTTACCCTCGGTTTGTAAGGTAATGATAAGCGCTGTAACTAATTCACTTTTCGTTGTTTTACTCTTGTTATGTGAGATATGAGACGTAGGTATAGCATAAGATTGTTGGTAGAAAGTAAACTAAAAAGGAAATATAATCAATACTATATCTATCAAAGTAGTAAAATCTTATTACATTACCAACCCATAACTCTGTTCTTCGATATTAAATTAAATTCACTCGACAAACTAAACCTAAAGCGAAGGGATTATGATATAGCAGACTATATATAGTGGTCTATGCAGGACTCAGCAGTATGAATGCTATTGCAGCGACCAGCATGACTGTTTGACCTTTTATCTTCAACTCTGTGCCATCACTACGGCCAAATTCAAAACCCATGATGTTGGTTCTAGGTGCCACAGTGACCATAGGAGCGGCTGAAATTCCCAGAAAACAAGCAAGTGGATTGTAAATAAACCAGGACCAAAGACTAACAGTAGTTCTTAAAGAATCACAGAAAAACATACAGCCTACAGGTACTCAACACAAATTTATCCACATAAAATTTGTGTTTGTTTGTGAATCTTCTGTGTGAGTAACATATTTATTATTTGAAAAAAACTTGTGTAATGCTTTTTAAATTGTGAAATTACACTCCAAATTCATTCAACTTTTTAATTTATATATTGTCTATCCAATTGCATTTTACACGAATTATGGAATATGATGTGTTTACTTACCAGCTATGGAGGAATTGGGGTGTGTCCCAGAGGGGCCTTGAGAAACAGGTGAACTGGGAGGCATAGGCACCCCTTCAAAGAAGCCAAACAAAGAAACACAAACATGTTATACAAAATCAATTGTAAGACCCAACTTGCAAATATATCTACAGACACTGTCCAATATTAAACTTTGTCCACAAATTAGGCCCTATTTGACAATAGTTTAGTAAATTGTTTTTTGACTAAACAAATTCAAAGAGTAAAAATCGTGTTTACTTTTTTGCTAAATTAGTAAGGGTAATAAGGTAGTTTTCCACAAAAGAATACTAGAAAGCAATTGTCATACCCTACCTTAAGGTCTATTTATTTTGGGAGAAATTTTATTCTTCTAGAATACTTATATAATTTTTTTTATTTATTTATGAAATTTATGTGACAGTAGTCAATGGATCTTCTCCTTCAAAGCAAGAAAATCAAGTTTGTCATATTATTTTATTTGTATAGCATTACTCTTTTTTTTCTTGCGGGAAGTTAATCTATGCCATGGTGTACCATGTTTGGAAAAGTTGGCTAGTATAATATAATACCTGAACATGTAGAGAAGTCAACTTGGAGGTTGCAAAGAAGTGGGAGCTGCAGAGCAAGTGTAGTATTGATAGGAAAAGAGCTCAATGCAGTGTCATTCAGCAAGAGGCATAGGCAACCTGGTTGCTGGTTGTACAGCTGTCGGAGGTTATCACAACATGGCTGCGCCGGCGAGGGGACAGTCCCCTGCACGAATGGCGCACATGGGACCAATAGCATCAGGCGTGGCGTGCAATCTTAGGTTTTTGCGAGAAGAGTGGTTGATGGGAGCCAGTGAGAAACAGGAAGAACTAGGAGGTGGTTATGGCAATGGGAGAGAGGGAGTGAAGAGAAGACATGGTGGTGTGTTTGCTTCTTCCTTTTTATTTTTTATTTTATTTTATTTTTGTGTGTGTTGGGAGATTAGATAGATGTCTAAGAGTAGTTTGTTTTAGATGAGAAGAAAATGTACTAAGGGTGTATGAAATAGATGAAGATGCATTGTTCTAGTGTGAGCTGCTACATGCCTAATGTGTGTAATTCCAACACACACTTTCTACTTTACTGGGTAAATTACATTATTGGTCCATTTTGTTTGACAAAATTTTACTTTGGTCCCGTAGTTTCAATTTTATTTTAATATGATTCCTCCATCAATTTTCATTAATAATTTGAAGAAAAAACAACACGTGCGAAATTAAGGGGACCAAATTGTCATTCAGAAAAGATAATAGTGACTGTTGGTGTGTAATTTATTTATTTTTCTTTCTTGTCTTAAAATTGCTAAAATTTTCACGTGAGTTGCTCGTGGCATTTTTCCATCAGAAGAGCTAACAGCAATTAACAAAGGGCCAGATTGAAATGCAATTGAAAGCGTAGGCTTAAATTGATGAAATTAAAACTAGACTGACTAAAATGAAATTTCACTCAAACTAGAGGATTAATAATGTAATTTACTCTTACCTTTTTATCTTGTACACAACTAGCTTCTTGTACTTATGGGTCTGCAAAATGAGATTTGGACTTGTGGATATAGAATGTATATGAATGAATAATTCTTTGTTTTTTTGGTAGAAGTAACTTCTATCAATAAATATGAGATATATATATTTTTAACAACATGAGTAATTCTATTTACTATGCTTGAAAAATTGTCCCAAAGTTTATCAAAAGATTGTCACATCAGCGTGTGGGCTCTAACCGTTATTAAACACACTACAAACCGCGAAATTTATTCAAAATTTAAATTAAATGGATGAGATTCATTATAAGTGTGGGACACAATATATCAAGTCTTCATCTACACCATACATTTATTTTCTTGGCAATTAATATATATGTATTTTTTGATAAAAATTTGGATAACTTTTTTGGTAACTTATAATTAATACATTTTTTAGATTTTGAAATGAGACTGTTTTGGTTTTATACAAACAAACAAATTATATATATTAAACAATTGATGTGGCACTGCCATACTATTATATTAGATTTTGTTTCAAATTTTTAACTTATATGATTGCATGATATTGTTTCAAATTTTTAACTTATATGATTGCATGATACATTTGTGAGTAAAAAAATAAAATAAATTATACAATTTCACTATGCCAGAGTTTGCCGATAACAAACCGCCGTTAATAAGTATAAAATTGTCACAAAACCTTTAACGGTGGTAAGACGACAAAAAGTGAAACCGTTATCTATATAAGTGTCGGGAATAATTTAAAGGCGGTAATGTTACCGCCATTATTAATAGCGGCGGTATCTATGACGGTTATTAACCGCCACATACAAAATCGACGGGTATGAAAATTAAAGGTGGTTTGTAGAACCATCGTTTTACGAGGCTTTTCCCAATATAAGCCTTTTTTACATTGTATTTCCAAAACTAGGCCAATTTCTGACGGAATTCCAAAACTAAGCTAAAGCGCCATTACTATTCGCGCTTTTACTGTTAGGAGCGCAAAAGTAGATGAACAAAAAAATCGCTATTACAAATAGCGACTTTGATTAAGAAAACGCTATTACGAATAGCGCTTCTAGGGTTAATTTTTTTACCAAGGAAAACGCTGTTAATAACAGCGCTTTTAACCCAAATCCATTTTCCCCAGAAAACGCTAAAAAATGATATTGTTTCAAATTTTTAACTTATATGATTGCATGATATTGTTTCAAATTTTTAACTTATATGATTGCATGATACATTTGTGAGTAAAAAAATAAAATAAATTATACAATTTCACTATGCCAGAGTTTGCCTTTAACGGTGATAACAAACCGCTGTTAATAAGTATACAATTGTCACAAAACCTTTTAACGGTGGTAAGACGACAAAAAGTGAAAGCGTCATCTATATAAGTGTCGGGAATAATTTAAAGCCGGTAATGTTACCGCCATTGTTAATAGCGGCGGTATCTACGACGGTTATTAACTGCCACATAAAAAATCGACGGATATGAAAATTAGAGGTGGTTTGTAGAACCATCGTTTTACTGTTATTAATGAAACCGGCGTTAAAGACTAATTCTGGTGTAGTGTTTATTTGTTTAGGTAACATTTCTTTATATCAATACAGTACTTGATATAGTCCAGGCATCAGATTAATAGAAATCATGGCCCAAATTGCTTGGATTTTATGTGAACAGCTTTGATGATTGGAATACATAAATCAAGTTTACTAACTATAAGTGCAAAAAAGAAAATGATAATCAATTACCTAAGGAATCATGAATTTGGATAGAAATTTTAAAAGGAAAATGAAAAAAAAATAAAAAAAAATTGTATTTCATTCATATTTGCCTTACATTTTCAGTTTTCCTTTCAAAATTCATAATTTAAGCACACCCTAAAAGTCAAGTTTCTAAGATTGATTCAAACAGGTTATTTGAAAATTTTGAAGTGCCGTTTCCCCCAAGAAATTCATTCAACTTTTTTGTTTGTAAAAAATGATTAAATATGACATTTCTCGTCATTTTAGAATAAAAAGTTACTTCAAGAATAATGTTAGAGATTCTGAAAATTTTACCAAATGTCTCACATGAGTGTGGGTCCTATGTGATTCTCACACCCATATAAAATATTTAGTAAAATTTTTAAGATCTCTAACATTTTTGTTACTTCAATTCTGCTTTAGACAAAAAAACTAGTCACAATTTTTTATTTATTGGCATCAGTGAATTCCAAGCAACTATTCATTAGTAGTGATGCGATATGGACCATCCATTTATATGACAGTTTACCACCATCCATTTATATGACAGTTTACTTGAAACCCACATAAACGAATAGTCCAGATTTAGAACTTGTCCTTCATGACACCCAAACTCACAAAATTATTATAAAAAAAGGAAAAAAAAATTGAAATAGCTGGAATTAGCCATACAAATTTCTTGAGTGGGAGAACTCTCAATCCATATTTGGCTTCACGTTTGTCATTTCACATATCTTACTAGATCATTATATGTTTTTCTGTCATTACAATATTTTTGTATATAATTTATATATTTATCTATTCCTAAATTCTTTAAATATACTTATTTGAGAATTTCAAGTTACAAAGTCTCGAGATATAATTCTATATATTTTCAAACAAGGAATAGAGAAAATTTCATATCAGAAAATCTTGTACCCATGTAAGTTTATGCACCACACCCCAGGGTGGTTTTGTCACTCCCAAACATCAAAGTACAAAATTGACAGTGTGTGTATATAGGGATGACAATCCATTGAAATTTTCAAACTTTTGTATATTTGCAAAGAGATCCACCTAGGGGTATTGTAGTCACTTTCTCAAAATAACAGCTAAGGTACCCATCATAGCTTTGCAATTTGTTCATCTGTACAAGTTCCCTAGCCGTTATCTAACACAACCAACAAATCAAAAAACCGTTTGTTTCCCGGGAAACCCTCCCAACCCTAGTCCTAAAAGAAAACACTAGTCTCCTCCCACTTTCTCAAGACTCTTTCAACCCATTTCAAACATAGCCCCCCCTACAATTCCTCACCATCAGTCCTCTCCAATATTCTCCCAAGTCCAACCTGTATCATCCTTTCTCTACCTTTCTTTCTGTCTCTCTAAAATATCTTCTTCTTTTTTTTTTTTTTTTTTTTTTTCAGTCCCCAAAACCCCCCACTCCTTTTTTGCTCGCCCTCTGGGCCCACCCCCATCCCATATTCTTCTTCTTCTTCTCCCTCCCTCCCTGTCTCTCCATCTAATGGGGAACTGTTGTTCCCATGGTGACGCCAATGATCCCCCTGACAACACTGCTGGCAAAGCCGAGGGATTAGGCGATCAGATGGATGAAAACAATGCCGGTCCCACCCAATCTCCACAAAATTCAACCACCCCGCCTAAAAACACGCCTCCCTCGTCCTCCCCAAGTCACAAGCCCTCAAAGCCTGCCACAGTGGGGCCTGTTTTAGGCCGGCCTATGGAGGACATTCGCCAGACGTATACGATTGGAAAAGAGCTTGGGAGGGGACAATTTGGTGTGACTCATTTGTGCACAAACAAGGCAACTGGGGAACAATTTGCTTGCAAGACAATAGCAAAGAGGAAATTGGTTAACAAGGAGGACATTGAGGATGTTAGGAGAGAAGTCCAAATTATGCATCATTTGGCGGGACAACCAAATATCGTGGAATTAAAGGGAGCGTATGAGGATAAGCATTCGGTACATTTGGTGATGGAGTTGTGTGCCGGGGGTGAGCTGTTTGATCGGATCATAGCCAAAGGGCATTATACTGAACGGGCTGCTGCGTCACTATTGAGGACCATTGTGCAGATTGTCCACACATGTCATACGATGGGGGTTATTCATAGGGATCTCAAGCCCGAGAACTTCCTTTTGTTGAACAAGGATGAGAATTCGCCTCTTAAAGCTACTGATTTCGGTCTATCCGTCTTCTACAAGCAAGGTTCTAGTTTTATCATCCTTGTTTGTTAATGTTTTTCTTACATTATGAGCTATTTACCCATGAAATTTCAGTAAATATCTAATTTAAAATGGTTTGGCTATCTTTTGTTAATTTAAAAAATATATATTTTTGCTTGGTGAGGAAAAACCAGGAAATGAAATGACACAATTTATAGAATGAATGAGAAAACTTGGTAGGGTGTTGAAATTCTTAAACCATGGTTTTTTTTATATATATATATATTTTAACATATTCTGCTTTAAGTTGATTTTGGGATAATCTCTGTCTTCTCAATTTTCTAAAAATTGGAGACATGTTTCTAATCTAATTTAGATTATATTGTGAATTTGTGATGTGTGCACAAAGACGAAATGTTACAGTTTTTAAGTTTCTTACAAGAAATAAATTTGCGTTTAATGATTTCATCACCTAAAACACCAAAATGGTTGTAAGAAGTAGAAATCAACTTAGTTACCATACAAGAACAAAATTTATTGTAGATGAGTGTACCATTAAAAACAAAATAAACTTTTTCCAAGCGCAAGTGTGCAAACTTTCCAAAGGATAATGCTTTTCAGTTTGCCATAACTTTACAGTTTTCTTCACTAAACCCCTCTTTTTGTGGATATGATGTTGTTTTTCTAATGAATGTTTCATTTTTCTCTTTAATTTGAAGACTTTCTGACCTATCTAACATTAAGAAATGGCTACCTTCGACAGGAGAACTATTCAAAGATATTGTGGGTAGTGCATATTATATCGCACCTGAAGTCTTGAAGAGAAGATATGGACCAGAAGTCGATATATGGAGCATTGGGGTTATGTTATATATTCTTCTATGTGGTGTTCCCCCCTTCTGGGCTGGTAATCTTTTTCTTTTCTTTCTTTTCTTTTTGAAATTTATTTTTTACTTGTCTCAAGGTTTATATATTGATAGAGTATGGATAATTGATTGGTAAAAACGATTTGACAGAGTCGGAGCATGGCATTTTCAATGCAATCTTGCGTGGCCATGTTGATTTTACAAGTGATCCATGGCCTTCAATTTCATCCGGAGCAAAGGATCTTGTGAGGAAAATGTTGAACTCCGACCCCAAGCAGAGGCTGACAGCATTCCAAGTTCTAAGTTAGCATGATTACATTTCAAAAGTTATTGTTTCAATACATGTCGTCGTTGAAAAATGGATTACTTGTGTTCTAAATAAGCATAATTTTGTGTTTTAGATCATCCATGGATTAAGGAAGATGGAGAGGCACCTGATACACCACTTGACAATGCTGTTTTGGATAGACTCAAACAGTTCAGAGCAATGAATAAGTTCAAGAAAGTTGCTCTTCGGGTATGCCAAACTTCTCTCATTTTAAACAGTAGTTTTCAATACATGTCGTCGTTGAAAAATGGAATACTTGTGTTCTAAATAAGCATAATTTTGTGTTTCAGATCATCCATGGATTAAGGAAGATGGAGAGGCACCTGATACACCACTTGACAATGCTGTTTTGGATAGACTCAAACAGTTCAGAGCAATGAATAAGTTCAAGAAAGTTGCTCTTCGGGTATGCCAAACTTCTCTCATTTTAAACAGTAGTCATCTTGTTTGTTAGTTTGAATGGTAAATATTCGTTTCATTTTGATAGTTCAGAAAGTCTCACGTTCTCAGTTTGGACAAACAAATCATGACAATAATAGATGAATACTTAGGTCATGACAATGCAATTAGTGAGCTTGGTATAGAATTTGGTGCTATTGTCAGCATGTGTTACAGCCATTAGTCTCTCAAGACTAAGCGGTTAATTTTAAACTCGTAACATGTTCCTTATACTAGAATCATGTAAAACAACATCATCCATTCCTAAAACCTTCCAAAATCATCCTTCCCTACAACATTCAATTTTGCTATGGGAAAATGCTAAACTATCAGAAATTTTATACAGAATTTACTAGAATGATGTGGCAGTGACATATGTGCAAAGTTATGACCATAATAATGTAGATAATGTTTTTAAATGAATGGACACCATTATGCCACATCATTATAAATAGTAATTCTGTAAACTTTTTCTGTTTGTATATCACTACTCTCTATTAGCTATGTCACAAGCACTGGCACTAAACTGCTTTTAGATCAGTTGGCTCCATTGCCCAATCCTTGGCACATGAGGTTAGGAAAGTTCTGTTACAGTTTAATTTTCTTGCAACGATTAGGTTATTGCTGGCTGCCTATCAGAGGAAGAAATCATGGGATTGAAGCAAATGTTTAAAGGCATGGATACTGATAACAGTGGGACAATAACACTAGAGGAGCTGAAACAAGGACTCGCGAAGCAAGGGACAAAGTTATCCGAATATGAAGTCAAACAGTTGATGGAAGCAGTAAGTGCCCAAAAAAAGAAAAAAACCTTGTTAATAAAAGTTTTGAATTCCATCGTGTCATTTTTTATTTTATGTTTTTAATTTTATGCTCTATTTTTCCAAAATAGGCTGATGCAGATGGAAATGGGACGATAGACTATGACGAGTTCATTGCAGCAACAATGCAATTGAACAGAATGGACAGAGAAGAACATCTTTACACTGCATTCCAATACTTTGACAAAGATAATAGCGGGTAGTTATGATGATGACTGGCAATGATCATGACAAGAACAATCTTGATATCCTTATGATTACATACTAGCATTATATAAAATTGTTTACTATTTGTATTTTTTCCAGGTACATTACCATAGAAGAACTACAACAAGCTCTTCGTGAGTTTGGAATCAACGATGGGAGGGACATAAATGAAATCATTTCTGAAGTTGATGCTGATCATGTGAGCAAAAAATTAGAAAAAAGAAAAGAAAAAGCTGTATTTGATGAAGCAAACTAATGAACAACTTAATTCTTGCAGGATGGTCGGATTGACTACGATGAATTTGTGGCCATGATGAGAAAGGGTAACCCGGAAGCAGCACAAAACCCCAAGAAAAGGCGCGATGTATTCGTTTGATTATGCTTTTCTGTGACAGCAGAGAAGAGTAAATATAACTATTCTATGTCACCAAAGAGCTTTTAATGGTTGGACGGTGAGAAATGGTGAGAAATTTGATGAATTTGATTATAAAAAGAAAAATTCATGGATTCCTTGTTGTATTGTGTATATTACATATTGCAACGGAAAAAGATTGGAAAGGATATATATAGGCAAAAGGATAAGAGGCTTAACAAGGAATTTGTATCCATGTGTTTGAAGATAATGAGGTTTTATGGTGTTCGGTTTGTTATTATCATTCTCATTTTTTTAACACTTTAATCAGGTGTGGCTTGGAAAATGTTTAGGAATCAATGGGGGTTTTTAAATGTATCTATTCTTGTTCAATATTTATTAGTATAGACATTACTATGTATTATTATTGTAGACTTTAATGGCATCTTGTTATATTAATCTATCTTAATTACCATGTGTTGTGAACTTTGAAGGGGCCTCATATTCCCTTCAAATACCTGTTTCCTTGATGCACGTAAAGTCGGATGAAGTACCTGTTTGGTGCAATTTTTCTCAAGTTGAAAGTGAATCAAAATAGCAATACTAGACACTTGAAAATTTATTCAAAAAAATATCCAAAAGAATAATCATGTGGTTGAGATCAATTTCAAGTGTATCTCCCACAATATAAGAGTTGAATCTGTCCCAAACATCATTTTCCTAGATAAGATTCTGGGTAAATTTTCTGAACAACTAGCTTTTCTGTAATCAGAAAGTAGGAGCTGAAAACAAGTTTCACTCTCAGTTTCTAGATGATCAACTTATTTAATTTATTTTTGTCTCATAAGTTAAATAAAAATTATACCAAACATTTTGACACATATTTCCAAAATAAAAATGTTATAAGCAATTTGAAAAAATTATACCAAGCAGAATGAAATAGAATTGGTGAGAGCCTTACCTATTTATAGATAAAACTACCCAAGGATGGCAGATGCACTGGTGCTCTCTTTTAAGGTTCCAAGGGTGGATCAATGGTGAGTGTAATGATTTTTTTTTTTTAATTTAAAATAATTATAAATTTATATTTATTTTTTATAGTGATTAGATTTCTAATGGAAATCCTTCATTACATAGATGAATTGGAGAGGATCAAAGTCTGTTATAACACATGAGTCAAAAATATATTTGTATCATTTTAGGCGTAGGAAAATCAATTTTCAAGGGAGAGCTAAGGCCATGTTTGATTTTTGTTTCAAAAAAAAAAAAAAAAAGTCAGAATTTTTTTTTGAAAAAATATAAACTAGTTAAATAAAAATAAATATTAAAAATATAATTTTAAATTTTAAAAAATTATTTTAGGCCCCCAAAAGATAAAATTATACAAAAATGATAAATAATTTTGATTTTTTAATTTCTTTTACCAAATTAATTTTTAATAATACTTTTAAAAAAAATTTGAAACAAATTTATGAAAACCAAACCAAATATGGCCTTGGTCTCTAAGCACGCATGATACCCAATCCCTCAATATGCCACATTATTTTCCTTATTTCATTTTAGCCCTCAAGACCTAATCACATGCATTCTAATTTTCCAATTTACACTACAAGAAATTGCAATTTTAGCGATTACCTTTGGCAATGAAGTAAATTTTCGTAACCAAAAGTGCACTTTATGTGACACAAGAATCTTTTTTGTTAGTAAAGGCAGACTTTTAGCAACGCAATTCCCAATCTGTCGTTGTAGATTGAAAACATTCATGAGGTGCCAAGGGACAATATTCTCTCAAAAAATGTAAAAGTTTTAGCGATGACCATATTTTTTGGGTGACAAAATTATGTGTCGCTATTAGTTTCTTTGTTTTGGCAGCAAAGTCTTTTGGTTGGCAAATATATATATTTTTAGTGACAAACATATTTTCATCGACGAAAGTCTTAAAAAAAAAAATGAAAAAAAAAAAAAAAAAAAAACCACCAAATTATTACGATAACGTTTGGTAACGTTTACGTTTTTGGTTTATGTTTATAAAAATTTTATAAACTGGTTTTTGTTTATTTTTAGAAAAACATAAATTACAAACATGTTTGGTTTGAACTAAATGTTTGAAAATTTTTAAAAACATAAACTAAAAAATATGTTTGTTCAGGTCTAAAATATTTATATTTATTTTTTATTATTTATGACAATGGGATTATACACATTAGGAAAATTTACCCATAAGTCCTAGTTTCTGAAAAGTTGAACCATTTAGTCCTAAAAGTTTTCTTATGCTCCATTTAGTCCCATTTGCACATCAATCTAATGTTTGAAATATTAATCTGATGTTCGAAATCTAATGTTCGAAACATTAATCTGATGTTCAAAATCTAATGTTCGAAACATTAATCTGATGTTTGAAACATTGTAATGGGACCTTTCAGTCTATAAGAAAACTTTTAGGACTAAACAGTGTATAAGTTATTAATTTGGGATTTATTGGTGCATAATTAAAAAAAAATTAATTAAAAAAAATTAATTGGAAAAAAAATTTGTTAGTCAAATTTTTAAATTTCTGTTTAAAACCGACATAAACTCATTTTTTGAGTTTACGTTTTTTTTTTCAAATTTATAAACTGAGACAACCATTTATAAACAAAAAAAATTATCAAATAAGTTTTTATGACAATTTTTAAAATTCTTGTGAACATAAACTGAAAACTAAAAACAAAATGGTTACTAAACAGGCCCATCTAAAAATTTAAACTAACATTACTACATGCCATAAACTCAAATTATACACAATCAAAAGATGGCTTTTCAAGCCTTGGACAAGGAGACAAATCCTTCACACAAAAATAAAAACACCACATACCTCGAGCACCAGGGTTAATATTCGCACTGTAATATAGTAGGATGAGCACAACGGTCTTGTTATGTTTAAAATCACATTTCTCACCTTAAATCTTTAAAAGCCTCAACACAATGTTCGAAAACTCAATCAACATGTCTGAAAATCTTCCATTTTGCATAAACATGGATAGTAATAGTAAATTATTACAATCAACAATTCCTAAAATTTACCATTTTGCAAAAAGCCCTTGAAGTTTGTATCTGTTTTCAATTAATAGTAGTAGTAAATTATTACAAAATCTATAATTTTGTAATAAGTTCATACACACATGAATCACGGTGTTTTCATGCTCTTAATATAGTCAATTTCACGGCACGACAATTCAGAAGCCCCCTTTTAATACGTGGAGATTAACTAAAATCTTTATTTTTTAAAAACATAGATTAACTAAAATCTAAACACGCAAATTTACAAAATCTTATAACTATTATTTATTATACAAAACCAAACCCACACTATTTTTTGGGCCTTTTACATTTTTGTATCCTGGTTTCTTTGTTGGTTTCTTGGCTATGCCCATCCTATTGATTGTAAACGGAACGAACCGATCATTGGTGCATCTTATTATTTGTACAAAGAAAATTTTGGATCACATTGATTGTTGAATCAACTGGGGATGATGAGCATGGAATTTGGTAATAAGAAGATCTACTTTCTACAACCCAAAAGCACAATGATTGTTACTTGCCAAGACATGCAAGTCCCAACGCCCAATTATCAATATATATATATATATGTTGCTTGGCCGAGATTTTCAATTGGACGAAGCAATACGATGAGAGTACAAAGAGAAAGTGTGATGGCTATGGACCTTAACGCCATAATACCACATGTCCTACTCGGTCCATGTTGCCCAAGCTTCGAACCAAGCTAGATTTTGTCTCCCACAATATTATTAGAGTAAGTTCAAGGGTTTTTGCATAATTCACTACTATTAGTGCTACTACTTTTATGAGATTAATGTTTGTTGTAATTTTTTGGATCAATTAATTAATAATTTCTTCCCGCAAATTTATATTGGCAGAAAAATACATAACATACCAAATAGCAAAAATACAAGAAGTATGCAGTTTTTCTATTGGGTATGCCGGCTTGGTTGCTACAAGTCATAACCATGATTAATTTTATGGCATATTTTCTTACTTCCTAGGTTAAATTCGGTTAGTTGTGGAGAAGTTATTCCATGGGTTTGGCATACCACATCAGCAGTATGCTCGACCAATGGAAACAATACATTGAGAAAAAAAGTCAGAATATATGGAGGCATTCTAAGAAGTATGCCAATGTGTTTTCCATTCAAAAAATAACTATCACTTTCTTTAAAATTTCATTAGTTTGACACGTCATATCAACATGATGATGTGATCTACAGGACCTACTGAATAATTTCTTCTTAATTGTGAAGCACACATTTGATCCAAACATTGCCTAAAACTATAGCAGTCATGTTAGAGACTCAGAAACTTACTTAGAAAACACTATGTGTGATAAAGATTCATTTCAAGCATGAGTTGAACCATTCATCACTTTCAGAACAAGTTTCATGGTAATTTTTTTGGGTCTCTCTCTTTACTGAGTGACAATAAAGCTTTGAACCTAGAAAAATTGAGCCAAAAATTTACCTAGAATGAAGATGAATGGCTCAGATTCAACTTATGTGTTGTGAGTCCATATAAAAAATGCAAGACTATTTTTTTAAGTTTCTAGATAAATTTATGAATAAATAATCTAGGTCTCTGTAGCACTACTGTTTAAAAATATAAAATAGCAATCAACCATTCAAATGAAAGATGACATGTTCATGTGCCATGTCGCCACACACATAACATTTGGACTCATGCATTGAACAAGTTAGGGTAGACAAATGGGTCCTCCTCATCCAATGCAACCGAATCAAAAAAACAAATTGATCATCTTAGGTATGGAGTCCATATTCATGTTTCAATAGTATCAACTTGTAGTGAAGATTGCCGTAAAGACCTTTTCAAATGCTTATTAGACGGCAACTTGTAGTTATTCTATTGAAAAGTCTCTCTCTTCCTCATTGCCTCCACAACTCTCATCACCAACCAACCCTATATATATAGAGAGAGAGAGAGGGAGAGAGAGGCCTTAGTGTTTACTCCATTTGTACCACAATTCATACTCATTTTTCATTCATCATTTTTGCTTTCTAGATAACCATAAAAACATCAAAGGAAGAAAAGAAAAGAGAATCAACTCAAATGGCAAACCTCATTTTGGTTCTAAGTCTGCTAGTCTCTTGCACAATGGCCATTGCTTTTGAGCCCAGTCCCTGATGCAATAACCAAACAAAACCAGAGATTACATCAAAAAGGAGGGGAAGAGCAGCAAGCTAGCTCACCCCAGGAGTTTGGTGAGGAACCAAACCCAAGAAGAAGAGAAACACAGAAGAAAGCAACAAAAACAGAAAAGCACCAACAGACCAAAACATAGGCCAACATCAGAAATGCACTGCAGCCAAAACGACCCCCACAGCCACAACCTGCGCATAGCAACCAACACCCAATACACCACATCAGAGCTCCTGGGCTTCAAAGCCCACAGAACAACCCACAGAACAGCCATGCTGCCTTAGGACAGTGCCATGAGGTAATACATCACTTCGCAGCCCCCAACAGAGCAGCATTCCATTTCTGATTCAACACTCCTGATGACTAGCAGATGAACAACTGAACAGAGGCACACTTAAGACGACTAACCACTGCACTCCAGCATATGAGTAGCATAACAGATGAAAGCACACTGAGGACTGCCCAGCACTCTAACCTATGAACATCCTCCAAAACCACTGTCCTCTGCACTCTAGCAGATTAGCAACCAGATTAGCAGCTAGACAGACAGCAACATATATCAGACAGCAACATATGAACCTGGTGAATGCATCAAGGCATCAACATACAACAGATAGCAACATTCATCCTCAATACCACTGTCCAGTGAATGCATCAAGACAGCCTATACCTAGCTCCCCTGCCTTAAACAATAATGAACCTGGTGCAAATTAAAAACTACATCATTAATGGAGAACTCTACTTTGGCTGGGGAGGATTTTACCCACAAAGCGATTCTTACTTTGACGACCTCACATAAATCTTCCAAATTTGGTTGAGCGCCATTAAAGATGCAATCATTCCGATGCTTCCAAATGGACCAAAGTACAGCCAAAGGCATAACCTTCCACATCACTTTCCCAGTCCCTTGCAAGATTTTTGTGTTGCTGATCCTACTAGCTCAGGTTGCTCATGCTCACATGCTTATTTCTTTTATTTGTTTTTATTATTATTTTTGGGTTGCTTTGGTGGAGTGGTTATAATTTGATTTCTTCTCAAGTAAGCATTTTTCTTTTTAGGATAATACATCTGTAGTTTTTATAATTTGTCTTTTGCGTGAATTTGATCTTTATAATTATAATTGTATCAATTTACTCTTATTTTTTTTCTTCATATTTTGCTAATTTAGCTCTATTGATAACGTCTCTTTAGAAATTAGAGTGAAATTAAATGGTAGAATAATATATTCACTACTCTTACCGTGGTTCAAGGATTAATATCTAATTTGAAATGGGAGCCTCTAAATGCTCTCCAAAAAATATGGTTGAACACCCATTAGCAAATTTGAATTTTGATATTTTCTTTGAACACTCCAATTAATTCTAACTTTAATCCCTCCCTCCCTTTGTCCCATTTATAAAAAAAAAAAAAATTATCAAATAAGTTTTTATGACAATTTTTAAAATTTTTGTAAATATAAACTGAAAATTAAAAATAAAATAGTTACCAAACAGGCCCATCTAAAAATTTAAACTAACATTACTACATGCCATAAATTCAAATTATACACAATCAAAAGATGGCTTTTCAAGCCTTAGACAAGGAGACAAATCCGGGCCATTTCTCAAAATAAGTCAAATTATCAACTTAATTCCCAAACTAAGCCTAGTTTTGAAAGAATTCCCAAAATAAGCTAAAACGTGGTTCACATCCACGCATTTAACGTTTGTGTGTTTGTCCCGCGTGAAAATTGAGAAATCGTAAAAGCGTGTTTCCAAATCACGTTTTTAATTAAAAAAACGTAGTTACAAACCACGCTTTTAATTAAATTTTTTTTCCTTCTGAAAGTGTGGTTGTGAACCATGTTTTAGCCTATTTTTGAAAAATAAGACCAAATAATTGAAATTAAGACCAAATAATTTTTTTCAATTAATTTTTTTTTTCAATTAATCTTTCATTTCAATTAAATTTTTTTGAAATATTTTTTTTCCCAATTAATTTTTTTTAAATAATTATTTTTTCAATATTTTAGGCCTGAACAAACATATTTTTTATTTTATGTTTTTAAATTTTTTTAAATATTTTGTTCAAACCAAACGCGTTTGTAATTTATGTTTTCTAAAAATAAATAAAAACCAGTTTATAAAATTTTTATAAATATAAACAAAAAACGTAAACGTTACCAAACGCTACCTTAGTGTTTAGGGATAAATTTTATTTTTTTTTATTTTAGGGTTTAGGGTTTAATTCTTAAAATTTATTTATTTTTATTTTAATAAAATAAAAAAAAATAAAAATTATCGCTAAACACTAAGGTAGCGTAAATTTTTAGAAATTTATTTTTATTTTTAGAAATTTATTTTGGAAAATTTACCCATAAGTCTTAGTTTCTGAAAAGTTGAACCATTTAGTCCTAAAAGTTTTGTTATGCTCCATTTAGTCCCATTTGCACATCAATCTAATGTTTGAAACATTAATTTGATGTTTGAAATCTAATGTTCGAAACATTAATCTGATGTTCGAAATCTAATGTTCGAAACATTAATATGATGTTTGAAACATTGTAATGGGACCTTTCAGTCTATAAGAAAACTTTTAGGACTAAACAGTGTATAAGTTATTAATTTGGGATTTATTGGTGCATCCCCCATTTATTTTTTAGAAATTTATTTTATTTTTTATGAAATAAATTTATTGGACCAACTGTGTTCACTTTACTTTATCTATTAGTTGGTCCAAGCGTGATTCACAAATCAGCAACAGCATTTGTGTATTGAAAGCGTGGTTCACAACCACGCTTTCAGAAGAAATTTTTTTTTTGGTAAAAAGCGTGGTTCACAACCACGTTTTTAGAACAAAAAAAAATTTAAGTTAAAAGCGTGGTTCACAACCATGCTTTTAGAAAGAAATTTTTTTTAATTAAAAACGTGATTTGTAATCACGCTTTTTTAATTAAAAACGTGATTTGGAAACACGCTTTTACGATTTCCCAATTTTCACGCGGGACAGACACACAAACGTTAAAAGCGTGATTGTGAACCACGTTTTAGCCTATTTTAGGAATTCTTTCAAAACTAGGCTTAGTTTAGAAATTAGGTTGATAATTTGACTTATTTTGAAAAATGGCCCGACAAATCCTTCACACAAAAATAAAAATACCACATACCTCGAGCACCAGGGTTAATATTCGCACGTGTAATATAGTAGGATGAGCACAACGGTCCTGTTATGTTTAAAATCACACAAAGTTCGAAAACTCAATCAACATTTCTGAAAATCTTCCATTTTGCATAAACATGAATAGTAGCAGTAAATTATTACAATCAACAATTCCTAAAATTTACCATTTTGCCAAAAGCCCTTTAAGTTTGTATCTGTTTTCAATTAATAGTAGTAGTAAATTATTACAAAATCTATAATTTTGTAATAAGTTCATACACATGAATCGCGGTGTTTTCATGCTCTTAATATAGTCAATTTCATGGTACGACAATTCAAAAGCCCCTTTTTAGTACATGGAGATTAACTAAAATCTTTATTTTTTTAAAGCATAGATTAACTAAAATCTAAACCCGCAAATTTACAAAATCTTATAACTATTTATTATACGAAACCAAACCCACACTATTTTTTGGGCCTTTTACATTTTTGTATCCTGGTTTCTTTGTTGGTTTCTTGGCTATGCCCATCCTACTGATTGTAAATGGAACGAACCGATCATTGGTGCATCTTATTATTTGTACAAAGAAAATTTTGGATCACATTGATTGTTGAATCAACAGGAGATGATGAGCATGGAATTTGGTAAGAAGATCTACTTCCTACAACACAAAAGCACAATAATTGTTACTTGCCAAGACACCCAAGTCCCAACGCCCAATTATCAATATATATATATGTTGCTTGGCCGAGATTTTCAATCAAACATTTTTCTGATACCCAAAGCGGCGATACGATGGGAGTACAAAGAGAAAGTGTGATGCCTATGGCCTTATGCCATAATACCACATGTCCTACTCGGTCCATGTTGCCCAAGCTACGACCCAAGCTAGATTTTGTCTCCCACAATATTATTAGATTCAAGGGTTTTTGCATAATTCACTACTGCTAGTGCTACTACTTTTATGAGATTAATGTTTGTTGTAATTTTTTGGATCAATTAATTAATAATTTCTTCCCGCAAATTTATATTGGCAGAAAAATACATAACATACCAAATAGCAAAAATACAAGAAGTATGCAGTTTTTCTATTGGGTATGCCGGCTTGGTTGCTACAAGTCATAACCATGATTAATTTTATGGCATATTTTCTTACTTCCTAGGTTAAATTCGGTTAGTTGTGGAGAAGTTATTCCATGGGTTTGGCATACCACATCAGCAGTATGCTCGACCAATGGAAACAATACATTGAGAAAAAAAAGTCAGAATATATGGAGGCATTCTAAGAAGTATGCCAATGTGTTATTCATTCAAAAAATAACTATCACTTTCTTTAAAATTTCATTAGTTTGACACGTCATATCAGCATGATGATGTGATCTACACGATCTACTGAATAATTTCTTCTTAATTGTGAAGCACACGTTTCATCCAAACATTGCCTAAAACTATAGCAGTCATGTTAGAGACTCAGAAACTTACTTAGAAAACACAATGTGTGATAAAGATTCATTTCAAGCATGAGTTGAACCATTCATCACTTTCAGAGCAAGTTTCATGGTAATTTTTTTGGGTCTCTCTCTTTATTGAGTGACAATAAAGCTTTGAACCTAGAAAAATTGAGCCAAAAATTTACCTAGAATGAAGATGAATGGCTCAGATTCAACTTATGTGTTGTGAGTCCATATAAAAAATGCAAGACTATTTTTTTAAGTTTCTAGATAAATTTATGAATAAATAATCTAGGTCTCTGTAACACTACTGTTTAAAAATATAAAATAGCAATCAACCATTCAAATGAAAGATGACATGTTCATGTGCCATGTGGCCACACACATAACATTTGGACTCATGCATTGAACAAGTTAGGGTAGACAAATGGGTCCTCCTCATCCAATGCAACCGAATCAAAAAAACAAATTGTTCATCTTAGGTATGGAGTCCATATTCATGTTTCAATAGTATCAACTTGTAGTGAAGATTGCCGTAAAGACCTTTTCAAATGCTTATTAGACGGCAACTTGTAGTTATTCTATTGAAAAGTCTTTCTCTTCCTCATTGCCTCCACAACTCTCATCACCAACCAACCCTATATATATATATATAGAGAGAGAGAGAGAGGCCTTAGTGTTTACTCCATTTGTACCACAATTCATACTTATTTTTCATTCATCATTTTTGCTTTCTAGATAACCATAAAAACATCAAAGGAAGAAAAGAAAAGAGAATCAACTCAAATGGCAAACCTCATTTTGGTTCTAAGTCTGCTAGTCTCTTGCACAATGGCCATTGCTTTTGAGCCCAGTCCCTTGCAAGATTTTTGTGTTGCTGATCCTACTAGCTCAGGTTGCTCATGCTCACATTCTTATTTCTTTTATTTGTTTTTATTATTATTTTTGGGTTGCTTTGGTGGAGTGGTTATAATTTGATTTCTTCTCAAGTAAGCATTTTTCTTTTTAGGATAATACATCTGTAGTTTTTATAATTTGTCTTTTGCGTGAATTTGATCTTTATAATTATAATTGTATCAATTTACTCTTATTTTTTTTCTTCATATTTTGCTAATTTAGCTCTATTGATAACGTCTCTTTAGAAATTAGAGTGAAATTAAATGGTAGAATAATATATTCACTACTCTTACCGTGGTTCAAGGATTAACATCTAATTTGAAATGGGAGCCTCTAAATGCTCTCCAAAAAATATGGTTGAACACCCATTAGCAAATTTGAATTTTGATATTTTCTTTGAACACTCCAATTAATTCTAACTTTAATCCCTCCCTCCCTTTGTCATCTTTGGCACCACCTTTTCCACCACCCCATCATCTCCGATAGCCACCCAGCCGTCTTTTATTGGCTTCCCGCTGCCTATTGCCTATCTCATTCACTTCCCACAGCTCGCTCCTCTTTCCTCCCTCTTAAACCCTAACCTTAAACCATATACCAGCCACCACCCCAACCATCTCCGAAAACGACCCAGCCCCCTAACCTTCCCTTGCTGTTGTCCATCACCCCCTCTCCTTCCCTCCTTTTAAATACCCTAACCCTTCACTCTACCCCAACCACTACCTACCTATCACCACTGGTTCTAGTTACAAGCAAAGAGAAAGATAAAGTCACGGGAAGACTGGGGAGGGGCTAAGATGTGGTGGGGGTTGAGGAGGGGGTGTTTTGGAGTGGTTATAATTTTATTTCCCTTCAAGTAAGTATTTTTTCTTGGTGCCAAGTATTTTTTCGTGGGGGTTGAGGAGGGCTAAGTATTTTTTCCCTTTGGCTTGAGCTAGCATATGATTCGGTGTTTCTCTTGGTGTCAACCTAGTTGGGATGAAGGGAAGTTCTGTGATGCTTTCTGCTCTTTGCCTTCGCTTTATTGATATTATCCATATGTATATATGTTTCATGCTATCAATAAGTTTTCTTTGCTTATAAAAAAAAAAAAATATTTTTTTCTTTTTAATTATTGATCTATTTCTCACATAAATGTTTGATGCATTTTGACAGCAAGAGTAAATGGCCTGGCATGCATGGATGCTAAGTTTGTAGAGGCCAAACATTTCTTCTTCAGTGGGCTTCATGTTGCTGGCAATACATCTAACAAGTTTGGCTTCAGCATTGCCCCTGTCACTGTGGCTCAACTTCCTGGATTGAACACTCTCGGATTAACAATGGTTCGATTTGACTATGCACCTTCTGGTATTGTCCCTCCTCACAGTCACCCCCGTGCCACCGAGATCATAACAGTTCTTAAAGGAACCATTGAAGTTGGCTTTGTCACCTCTAACCCCGACAACCGACTCATCTCCAAGGTTCTCCATATGGGTGATGTGTTTGTCTTTCCTGTCGGACTCATTCACTTCCAAAGAAATGTTGGATGGGAAAATGCTATTTCGATTTCTGCTCTTAGCAGCCAAAACCCTGGACTTGTTTTCGCGAGTGGTGCTGTTTTCGGATCAAACCCGCCTATGCCTGTTGATTTGGTCGCTAAAGCATTCCAGATTGACAAGGGCGTAGTCTACTACCTTCAAACCATTTTTTAGATGAGTAAAAGGATTGAAAAGGATATTATGTTCGTTTGGTTAATGCATTTGAGTGTCTCTGAATTCTCTTTTTTAATCTTTATTTTCTGTTGGACACATTGTTGGTTTTAGAATTTTTTAGAGGGACAAACTTGTAATTTAGACATGCCAAAAAAGGTTGAATAGCTCCTTTAGACTTTAACTTCAAGGCAAATAAATACCAATTAAAGTGTTGAAGGTTTTTTTTTGTCTCAATGGATTTCAACAGTCAACAAGTGCCACACCCAAAAGACAAATTTAACTATGAAAGAGAAAAGAAAGAGGGGGGGGGTGGGGGGGGGGGGGGGGAGTTTGGCGAGTAGCAGCGACTCAATGTATACTTATATAATGAGCTGATTATTCAGTTTTTAGAATTTATTTTTTAGAAAATTTACTTTTTTATTTTTTGTATTTTTTTCTGAATTTTTCAATATTTTAAGTAATTTTTTTTTTAATTTTTAGATATACCTAACATAAATACACTTAGGAAGTATAATATTTGTGAAAAAAATCTTTAAAAAATTGGAAGACTTATTTATAAGTCTTATTTCAGACATTTATGCTAGGTTAAGTCCTGTGTAATTTCTTATAGAGTTTCAAGTTCTATTTAGATAGAAATATATTCCACAAGATCCTATGAGTTGTAAATAAATGGTATTAATATACTATTATACATTATAATGGCAAAACCATATATGGGAAATTGAATTTAAAAAATCAGAAACTTAGTAAGTTTGCGAAACGTAATGTGACACGTTACGTTACGTATATGTAGGTGTCACGTTACGTTTATGTAGGTGTCACGTTACGTTACATTTATGTAGGTGTCACGTCACGTTACGTTTATATAATATCCCATCTGATATAGTCACGTTACGTTATGTTTATGTAAGTGTCACGTTACGTTTCGCAAACTTAATCTATGGTAACATTCAATTTCCTATAAATATTACCATAGATTATATCTATATGAATATGAATTTCAAAATGTACAAACAAGTAACATTTTCACATTCAATTTAAAAAATCAAAAATCTAGTAATTTTGCGAAACGTAACATGACACGTTACGTTACGTTTATGTAGGTGTCACGTTACGTTTATGTAGGTGTCACATTACGTTACGTTTATGTAAGTGTCACGTTACGTTTCGCAAACTTAATCTATGGTAACATTCAATTTCCTAAATATGATTTTACAATTATTTATGATATTAACAACTAAATATTAAGGGTAAATGTGTCAACAAAATTCACACAGGACTTATGGGAATATAAGTTTTTTAGTAGGACTATATGTAACATAAGTCTCCCTAATAGGACTTATAAATAATTTTTCCTAAAAAATTTACTAAATACCAAAAATACAAAAAAAGAAAAATGAAAATTTAGTACATTTTTCATATTTTTGTGTATTTATTAATTTTTAAAATATTTTTTTACAAATAATTTACTATTTAGATACATCTCTAAGTAAAGTACATCTAAAAAAGTAAAAAAAAATTGCTTAAAATTTAACAAATATTCACTAAAAGCAAAAAAATATGAAAACAAAAAACTCAATTTTTAAAAAACTGAATTCAAAAAACTGAAACCAAACACTATTAATTTGTAAGGGTGGTATTCATTAAATTCTATTTTATTATTATTTTTAACCAATAATTTTAACTCCATACCTGAAGTTTAATTTTAATTTGGTAATTTTGTTCAAACTATAGTTTAAAATTAATGATTTTGAAATACTTATCAATCTCTTGAGATGTACAAACAAAAAAACTTAAAAAAAATTTAGAAGTAAGAACTAAATTGAATTTAAAGTATACGGATCAAATTATTCAAATTAAAACAACAATTAAAGTAAAATTTAAGTCAAATTACAATTGTAAAAAATAATTTATCCAAAAACAAGTAACAAAGCAAGAAATTCACCATCATCATTATCATAGTCATCACACCACCTCCTCTACTATCCTGCCGTTGCTGTTGCCGCCACCACTACCATCCCCATCCCCATTACCTACCACTACCATTGCCACTACCACATCCTTCACCCCCTTATCGTACCAAAAAAAAAAAAAAAAAAAAAAAAAAAAAATATTAAAAAGCAAAAAGCCAATCGATCAAACTTTACTGTATGCATAGCAAAATTTAATTATGCACTATAATAATAATTTTAACATTAAAAATTATCATTTTAATCCCTATTATTAAGTGCTCGTTCGGCAATGACTTTTTAGTTGACTTTTTGATTTTTTCGACTTTTTTAGCCTGAGACTTTTTTAGTCGTTTGGTATTCTTATTTGATTTTTTTTGACTTTTTGACTTTGGAATGGTGTATTTTTTTTGTCTTTTTGCTTATTTTGTCCTTTTGTAATTTTTTGACTTTTTTTTGTCCTTTTGTGATTTTTTAATTCAAAATGTTTACCAAATACCCATAAGTTTAATCGAAAGTGATTGAGACCCTCTCTCCCCTCACTCCCACCACCCGCACACACACGTGGGGTTGGTGATTAAAGAAGAAAAAAAAAAAAAAAAAAACTAACCAATTACAGGCTATCTCTCCCCTCGCTCCCACCACCCGCACACACACGTAGCGGTTGGTGATTGGAGAAGAAAAAAAAAAAAAAAAACTAACCAATTACATGCCAGAGGGGATTGTGGGGGTGACCCCCTGTGGGGTCCGGATCATTTTTCAAGTTTAACTGTGTTAAATTTTTTAGTTGTGCGAAATGTAATAAGATCTAAATATGATAAGAAAACATGACAAAAAAAAACTTGGACAGTGAATAAGACAAGCCTAATTACCTCAAAAAGTAATAATAATAATAATGATAATATATTATTATTATCTTTTTTTTTTTGTTTTTTTTTTAAGCACTCACCTATGTGTGATAAAGGTACCTACCAAATTTCATAAAAAACACTATAAAAAAATTGAGAGATATAAACAACACAAAAAAATCGGAGTAATATTAAAAATACTAATTAATGTAACACACTAATTAAGACACAAGATATAATTAAAGAGAATGAATATACTTTGTATTGAATGAATACAATTGGTACAGGATGAAGTCATATTTATACACTTCAATGACTCTTCACCATAACTACCTAACCGTACTAAACCATAGTTAACACTGGACAGTTAATCTATAACAAACTAACAACCTATAACAAAAATAACAACCTATACAGCTGGATATTACACATGTGACTCATGCTATAGATGCAATTGCTGTAGCTTGCTCTGTGTCTGTTGCAGGTTGCTGTGACTTATCATACCCCTGCAAGCTCAAGGGACTGGGAAGGACATTGAGTTGGAGCTGAAGATATTGAAACCGAGCAACAGATAGAGGTTTAGTAAAAATATCAGCAACTTGATCTGAAGTGGGAATATGACAGATATGAAGCTTCTTGGATGCAACCCTTTCGCGAACAAAATGATAATCCACCTCAATGTGTTTAGTACGAGCATGAAACACAGGATTGTTACTCATAGCTATGGCAGATAAGTTGTCACACCATAGGGTAGGCACAGGAACAGAAATATGAAGGTTAGCAAGCAACATTCTAATCCAACTAAGTTCAGCCGAGGTTTGGGCTAAAGCTCTATATTCAGCCTCCGAAGATGATCGAGACACAGTTGGTTGCTTCTTGGCAGACCAAGAGATAAGATTAGGACCAAGATAGATACAGTAACCAGTGGTGGACCTGCGATCAAGGATATTACCTGCCCAATCTGAATCTGAATATGCATTGAGAAGAAGAGGACCAGAAGTGAAATGAATGCCATAAGATAAGGTGCCTTTGAGATATCTTAGCAATCTTTTGACTGAGGTAAAATGGCTAGTCAGAGGATAGTGCATGAATTGACAAAGATGATTAACCACAAAGGCTAAATCTGGTCTAGTAAGAGTAAGATATTGCAGGGCTCCAACCAAACTGCGGTACAAAGCTGGCTGAGAAAAGAGAGAATCTTCTGCTGCAGTAAGAGCACTGGAAGAAGACTTAGTAGCCATGGGAGAAGAGTAAGATTTGCAGTCACTCATACCAGCCTTGGTCAATAAATCTGAGGCATATTTTTGCTGAGAAAGCACATAACCAGAAGCATTTTTTATGACAGATATACCCAAGAAGTAATTAACAAAGCCAAGCTCCTTCATGGAAAAGGTGGTATGCATATGTGTAATGAGAGAGGTAATATAGAGAGGATCACTTCCTGTGAGGAGAATGTTATCTACATAGATGAGAAGAATGGTAATAGCAGTAGAAGTCTTCTTAATAAAAAGAAAAGAGTCACAATGGCTTTAAACAAATTGATGAGTGAGAAGAAAATTTGAGAAGGTAGAGAACCAAGCTCTAGGAGCTTGCTTTAAACCATAGAGAGCCTTGTGTAACTCGCAAACAAGCTGAGATTGATTTGGTTGAACAAAGCTTGGAGGCTGAACCATATAAACTTCTTCTTCAAGAACACCATGGAGAAATGCATTAGATATGTCAAGCTGCTTGATGGGCCAATCAAAATGTAGAGCCAGGCATAACAGAATTCTAATAGTAGGTTGCTTAGCCACAAGACTAAAGGTCTCATGATAGTCCACCCCTTCAGTCTGAAGAAAGCCCTTGGCAACTAACCTTGCCTTATATCTGGCTATAGAACCATCTGAATTTTTCTTAATTCTATAAACCCATTTGCAGCCTATTGCTTGTTTGCCAGGTGGAAGATCAACTAAAGACCAAGTACCTTGTTTTTGTAAGGCTTGAAATTCTTCAAGCATAGCAGATTGCCAAACAGAAGAAGAAGCTGCTTGCTGAAAAGTTTGTGGTTCATACTGAGGAGAGAAAGAAGAAAGACAAGCAGTATGAGAAGAGGTTGATTTGGATCTGGTAGTCATGGGATGAGTATTAGAAGAAAGAGAGGGAAGATCAATAGAGATTTTGGAAATAGCAATCTGATCAGAAGGGACAGTAGATAGAAGAGGAACAGAAGTGAAAGATACTGGTACTGCTGGAATTGAGGAAATAGTGGGAGTTGCTGGATTGGAGTGGGCTGCTGGAGTAGTGGCAGCTGTTGGAATTGCAGGAATTGGGTGAACTGTTGGAGTAGGTGTAGCTGCTGGAATTGGGTGAACTGTTGGAGTAGGTGTAGCTGCTGGTACTGTTGGAATTGCTGGAGCTGGAGTAATTGCAGCTGTTGGAATTGGAAGAGCTGCTGGAGGAGGTGCAGTGTGAGATGAAGAGAAAGGTGAAGACCAGAAAAACTGCTGGAGAGAGGCAGCAGTGGTAGAGGAAGACTGTTTGGAAGAAGTCTGAAAAGGAAAGAAAGACTCATCAAATACCACATGTCTGGAGATATAGACTTTGCCTGTGATGGGATCAAGACACCTATAACCTTTGATGGAAGGTTGATAACCAAGAAAGACACAAGGAAGAGATCTAGGTTGAAGTTTATTAGTGGTGTATGGTTTGAGCCAAGGATAGCATCTACAGCCAAAGGATCTCAAGAACATATAATTAGGTTTATGTTTGAATAAGACCTCATAGGGAGTAAGATTTTTAAGCTTGAGAGTAGGATGTCTATTAATCAAATAGACAGCTGTTGCAAGAGCATCAAACCAGTAAATCAAAGGTAGAGAAGAATGATGCATGAGGGTAATAGTAGTTTCAATGAGGTGCCTATGTTTCCTTTCAGCTACACCATTTTGTGAAGGTGTATGTGGACAAGTTAGTTGATGATCAATGCCTTTACTTTTAAGAAAATTTTGAAATGATGTACTAAGATATTCTCCTCCATTATCACTGCGAAGAATCTGAAGTTTAGTTTGAAATTGAGTCTCAACAAATGATTTAAATTCAAGAAATTTACTGAAAACTTCACTCTTATAATGCAAAGGAAAAAGCCAAGTAAATTTGCTAAAGTCATCAATGAAAAGCACATAGTACTTAAAACCTGAAACAGAAGAAGCAAAAGGGCCCCAAACATCTGTATGGATAAGAGCTAAAGGTTTATTTACAGTGGAATTAGACAAATGAAAAGGCATCCGATGGCTCTTTGAAACACAACAATGTTCACACAAACTAGAGCCTTTATTGGACAAAACATTAGAACCTAGATTATTATGAGAAAGAATATGATGAAGCTTCTTAGAGGAAGGATGACCAAGTCTGAAATGCCAATTAGGTGTTACTGTAGGTGATGAAGAACAAGAAAAACAAGCTTGAGAAGAGGAAGATGCAGCAGATGGAGATGCAGCAGATGGAAATGCAGCAGGAGAGGATGCACCAGAAGGAGAAGCACTGAATGGATAAAGACCATTTGTGTAGCTTCCTTTATACAAGATTTTCTGAGTAATCTTGTCCTGAATAACAAAAGAGCTTTCATCAAAAGTGATAGTGCAGTGATTATCTCTAGCTAACTGATGAACAGAGAGCAAATTGGATGAAAGTGTAGGTACATGAAGTAGCTTTGTAAGATGAAAAGGAAAAGAAGGAGTAGGAAGAAGACCTGGTCCAGTATGAGCAATGGTATGTGTAGAACCATCACCAACTGCAACTTGATCTTGACCATAATATGGCTGAGGGAAAGAAAGCTGACTTAGCGGAGTAATATTAAAAATACTAATTAATGTAACACACTAATTAAAACACAAGATATAATATGTGGATTCCACCATTTAATATGGTCTTACCTAATATTATATCTAATTGGTATATTAGTTAGTACACTAATTACTGTTTTTAGTATTACTCAAAAAATCGTGTTAAAATTAACATAATTGGAGGTCCAAACTCAATTTTCTAAAAAATCATGAAATTAATTATGGAAGTAGCCTAAGATATTTACTTTACCCAACTAAAATAGATGTGGAAATTTTTTTACCGTTTAGGTTATAAAAAGTTTTCAAAGAAAATCGAAATAGTTAGATCTAACTGTTATATGATGGCCTTAGGAGTGGCTGTTGAGTTAGAATCTGCAGCTATTTGGTGCTGTTGAGTTAGAATCTGATGGCCTTACTTCATCTGGTTGGTGTTGTTTTTGTCTTAGTTCATCACCTTCAGCAAGTTGCTGTTATTGACTTGGTGCTAGTTTGGTATGGCAATTGTTTGCTGGTATGGCAATTGTTGAGTTAGAATCTGCAGCTGTTTGGTGCTGTTGAGTTAGAATCTGCAGCTCTTGCATTAGAATCTGATGGCCTTATCTGTTGGCCTTGGCGCTTTTGGTGTTTTTTCTCGCTTTTCCTGTTGGTTTCTCACCAACACTACAACATTTTCTTAGTTTAGTGACATTTGAAAGTGTCACAAAACTATTCTTTTAATGACATTTTCTTGTGGCATTTTGAACAAGTGCCACTTCTATCGGTGCCACGGTAGATACTTGCAAGTGCCACTGCACCATCATGGCTGAAAACTTTCAATGACATTTTAATGTCATGGTAGATATTATTTGTGACTCCACATGAATAGACTCTGAACAGAGTAAAGAACACAACTGATCTAGAGAAATGTGATCTGATCTTGTGCGGATAGCAGTTTTTGTAGCATTATATTCCTCAGGCAAGCCATTTAAAATCAACAGAACTAAATCTTCATCATCAATAGGAGATGATGCAAGAGCAAGCTGATCTGACAATACCTTGAATTGATTCAGGTATTCTTCCATTGTTGTCCCTTTCTTAACAATCTTACTCAACTTGATCTTCAACTGATGTATGTGAGATCTAGACAGTGAAGTAAATCGTTTGGCAAGAACAGTCCAAACTTCATGACTGGTTTGACATTGAATAACAGTAGTGAAGACGGATGGAGACAAAGTTGCAGTGATGCAACTTAACAAATGAGCATCAATAGTGGTCCATAGTTCATGATTCGGATTAGGAATTGCAAGATTATTAGAATCTAGAATCATTGCAGAAGGACATACCTCTGATCCATCTACATAGCCAAGAAGTTTTGTAGCTTTCAAGATGTTCTGCAACTGATTCTTCCAAATTATGTAATTGGATGAATCAAGCTTGGCAGAAACAAAAGAACTCAGATTAGAAATCAATAATATGAGATTTGAAGGTAAGGCTGATGAAGGAATTGCAGATATTGTTGCAGGTGGTGCAGGTGTGATGTTTGAAGAAGTCATAGCTGAAGCTTTGCAGCTTTCTTGCTCGTAAGAGCCTAAGGCTCTGATACCATAAAGAGAATGAATATACTTTGTATTGAATGAATACAATTGGTACAGGATGAAGTCATATTTATACACTTCAATGACTCTTAACCATAACTACCTAACCGTACTAAACCATAGTTAACACTGGACAGTTAATCTATAACAAACTAACAACCTATAACAAAAATAACAACCTATACAGCTGGATATTACACATGTGACTCATGCTATAGATGCAACTGCTGTAGCTTGCTCTGTATCTGTTGCAGGTTGCTGTGACTTATCAATAATATGTGGATTCCACCATTTAATATGGCCTTACCTAATATTATATCTAATTGGTGTATTAGTTAGTACACTAATTGCTGTTTTTAGTATTACTGAAAAAATCGTGTTAAAATTAACATAATTGGAGGTCCAAACTCAATTTTCTAAAAAATCATGAAATTAATTATGGAAGTAGCCTAAGATATTTACTTTACCCAACTAAAATAGATGTTGAAATTTTTTTACCGTTTAGGTTATAAAAAGTCTTCAAAGAAAATCGAAATAGTTAGATCTAACTGTTATATGATGGCCTTAGGAGTGGCTCTTGAGTTAGAATCTGCAGCTATTTGGTGCTGTTGAGTTAGAATCTACAGCTTGAGTTAGAATTTGATGGCCTTACTTCATCTGGTTGGTGTTGTTTTTGTCTTAGTTCATCACCTTCAGCAAGTTGCTGTTATTGACTTGGTGCTGGTTTGGTATGGCAATTGTTTGCTGGTATGGCAATTGTTGAGTTAGAATCCGCAGCTGTTTGGTGCTGTTGAGTTAGAATCTGCAGCTCTTGCGTTAGAATCTGATGGCCTTGGTGCTTTTGGTGTTTTTTTTCTCTATTTTCCTGTTGGTTTCTCACCAACTTTCGGTGGTGCTAGCAAATGATTGGGTATCCTCCTTGGTGCCAACCTAGTTAGGATTGGGGGGTGTACTTTGATGCTTTTTGCACTTGCTTTCTTTAGTGATGTTTTC